GACTGTTACTGCAGCACTGAGACACGAGGACACTCAGCTGTGTGTATATGAGTACAGTGAGCCCAATTGCAAAAAAATATGGAAAATTACAATGTAATTTGCTTGTTTACTCACTATTGCTGCAGTAAATCTCAGACAAGTTGATGTTCTCAAGTCACACCCCTCCTCCCGTTAGCATCTAGCGCTTAATGTTTATGTTAAAATTGCCCTCTGCTCAAATTCCATATTTTCTTGATTTGTGCGGAAATACACATCCTCTACAGAAAACACACTTAAATATGGCATTTTTCTACAGATTACAGAGCACAATTTCTAGTTTTTGCTCAGTTTAACATGTTAGGGAGACATAAAACATAAAATATAAAAGATGTCATAAGTTTTGAAAAAGTCACCTTTTCATTTTTGCAACATGTTGCAAATATATGTCAGCAAATAGACAGTACAGTAGTCCTGATAAGAACCAGGTGTCACAATGTCTACAACACAAATATAGCCATTTAGTTACTATCCAAAACCACCCGTGAAGATACACATATCTTATGAGTTTTTATGTGTAATGTTGATGATGGTAGTCATAAATCTGAAAAATAATATTTTTTGGGGACTATTTTGCCTCACAACACCCTGCATGTGCCTCTCTGCCAGGAATAGATATAAAAATGTTTAAAGCCAAATACCTGCCTCAAAACTCACATAAAACAAGTAGTGCATTTACATGCACTAATAATCTGATCATGATCAAATTTCTGCAGATTATTCAAATGGCCATGCAAACAGCACACTGATTTCTTTAGATTGGAGTAAGGTCTAGAAATCTGATTAAGAAATCAAATGAATAGAGCCGGATTTTAGCTCTGTAATCAGATTTCTCAGTGCATCTAAACTCTTACTGTGATTTCTTTCGCATTTCTCAGTCCACGCAAGTGCAAAAACAGACAGCGGTACCAGAAATAAGTAAGCAGCGTTGCCACGAGACGCTGCAAACATGCTGGATGAAATGAAGGATTTAAATATTTTTCATCTTCTAGATGATGCATGTTCATATTTTCAGGTAAAGTGGGTCGATGTTTTTAAAAAAAAGCTGCGGTATGAGGTTTGAGTTTCACAATACTTTTATGTCACGGCACGTCTTCTTCTGTGAGTTTACTGGCTGGTTACAAAACAGATATCTGATTACTGCCTGACTAATGTAGACCTGGAGTTTTACATTATCTGTAAAAAATTACTCAAGTGCATGTAAACGTGTTGATCGGATTACTGACAAAATCTGATTTTCTGCATTTATAAGATTATTAAGTGCATGTAAATGCACTCAATGAGTATATGGTGTTTACATGACCATTTGAATAATCAGATAACTGCAGAAATCCAATTATGATCGGTTACTGAGTGCATGTGTCTCAGGCTGCAGGGAGTATACTCATAACCATTTTTTAATAACTTTATGTGAGGGGGCTTTTAGTGGCGTTAAATGCGTCTGGTTCCTATCACCACCACTGTGAACGATTCTGACCGGATGAGTGTTGCAAAAACAGAGAATTTCACACCAAACCACTCTGACTCTGTTTACATGTTAATGATTTAATTCCAAAGACATTTGGAAAAATTCCCCTATAATAGAAAGGAAGGTTAGGCTGTAGTAACTGTATTGGTCAAATGGAACATCCTACTGCAAGTTTTGTGGTCCTGGTCTATCAATCACTGAAATGTAAAAGTGTCCACTATGTATGCTAAGAACTCTTTAGCCACTCTTGTATCTTTCAGCCTGGATAGAGAATGAATACCCATTATTCCATGGCCAAATTCCATGATTTCATGATCTATAATGGGCTTGAAATAATGTATCTGTCCTATACTAGTCAAGAAGCCATTCACTACAGACATTTGTTTTGACAGCCAACATGCTACACTTGAGAAGCAGTGTGTATTGATATGCATTTGTCATACCTATATGCATATTCACAGCCTACTGCATGCTAAAGAGCAAACACGGTGAGGCAGGGGGCCCGTGCATGAAATTTTCAGGGGCCCAAATTTACTACAGGTACCCTCCTCCTGCCCCACCAGCATTTAGGCCTCTGTATGATTGTGCATGTGTTTGTGTGTTTGTAAGAGTGTAAAAAGCAGTCTCTGCATTCAGTAGCAGCGGTCAGAGGGTGCACAGTCCGGCAGCCGAATGTTATTTTCAAACCTCATCTAACCTGTCCAATCTCAGCCAGAAAGATTCTGCTGTTTTCATATCATATCAGCTCTGTCCGCACACACAGCCCGAGTGCTGAAATCCTCTTACCTTCCAGAGAGAGATACTCACTCTGCTTACTGTCCTAGTGACATCTTTCATCCCTCATCCTCCTCCTGAACTTCAGGAACAAACAGAACTTTTTCTTCTATTTAACCCTTAGAAGTCACAGCGATAAGAAAAGCATGTTGTAAGTTTCCATAAAATAATTCACATAAGGGCCTAGGAAGTCTTCAGAGAAGTTTTATAAAGTAAAAACAAATGTCTAGAAGTTTCAGTTCATTTTGAATTAGAATCATCATACTTATTATATTTATTGGAAACAAAAGGCTTGAAATGAACAGAAAAATCAGGATTTTGGTATCTGGGTAGATACAGCCAAGAGAGCTTGCTCATTGGTTAGGCCTTCAGGAGCTGAACTGAAGGCCTTACATGTTAGATTGGCTACCAACATAATAAGGATCTGATAGAGGAATCAACACATCACATTTTGATTTACAATGGGACAAAATGTTATGAGAAAAAATGTTACTCCAGACCTTCTGGAAGTTCTAGATAGGTCACTGACTGATATGAACCACAGTCCAGCTCGGTTTCAGTTAGTTGTTAAGAATGGAAAACAGTGGCGGCAGCTCTATGTCACTAAAAGAGTCACTGTAAAACTGCTAGGTCAAATATATTTTAATGTGTGTTACAAGCTTCAAATATGGGATGTCTTTTAAGGTGGTACCTTTGTTTTTAAGCAAGAATGGCCAAAAACTGTTAATGTGTACCACTGCTAGTTTAGTGCTTTCATAATATTTGAAACCCCATAGATGCACAAAAATTTGCATTATTGGAAAGGTGAAGTTTTGACATTGATAGCCTAAACTGAAGGCCTGGCTCTAATAGTCACAGGTCACCACTGATTATTTCTCTTTCTGTTCAAAGTGCAGATTCTAAACTTTCAATCCATGTCTTATTTGTATGTGTAAGTAGAACAGGAGCTATTTTACTATGATTTGAATTTGATTTTTTTTTTTTTTTAATTTTTTAACCCAATTATCTCCTCAATTTAGTTGTTGCCAATTCCACCCGCTAGTTAGGACTCCCCCAATCACACAATACTATCAACACTAGGAGGGCGAGGCTAACACAGGCTTCCTCCGAGACCTGTGAAACCAGCCACCGCTTCTTTACGAACTGTCGCTCACGCAACGTCATTGGACAGCCGAACACGCTCGGAGGAAAGCGCCAACCGCCAGATCTGCTGTGTCAGCTAACAGACGCCTGCGCTGACTAGCATCGCGTTAAGTGATGGGGGGAGAAGGAGGGGCCATCCTACCCACCCACCCAGAGAGAGAGGCCAATTGTGCTCTCTTGGACTCCCGGCTACGGACGGCTGTAGCATCACCAGGGATCGAACTTGCGATCATGGTTGCGCCACTCGGGAGCCTCCACTATGATTTGAATTTGATAAAAAGTCATTATTGTTTGTATTTGTATATTGACTTTCTCATTTTTCCATCAAAAGAAACAGACACGGGTCAGAAGTGCAGACTTCATCTCACCATTTCTATAGACAGGTAACAACATGGAACTGACCCTAAACTAAGATCTAAGATGTGTAGACAATTTCTACGCTAACTAGCAACACATCAGCAGGAATCCAAACAAGCTTGAGACAACAAAGCAAACCATTAAACACTGTCAAAACAACAATTCTTGCATAAAAATGCTAAAATCCTTCCTTCATGATGTGATCCAGATTGTAAAGACACTCAGTGTCCAGTAACTTTAGTTATTCGATTTATCACCTAGCTTGCAAAGAAGGGCTGACCCTAGCAGGTTAGCTTGGTATCAGTCATTACGACACCCTATATAAATATACTAAATTACTGAACATTTTAAATTGTCCACTGACTGAAAATTTCAACAATAAATGCACAAATTATTAAATAATATTAATTATATTGAGGACACTACTTATAAACCAATGCTGCCAAGATATGAAGAGCTTGATTTTTACTAAAACAGTACTATCTCTTGAGCACACTTTATACTGCATGAACTTGCCTGTATTCATTTTTCTTTTTGGTCAGTATCATGGCAAGGGCAACACCTGACCATTTACAGTGGCCTTTTTCTTAACTCTGACATTCACAACTGCTGAAAACAGCCGGTAATGATGGGACAGGTGCATGGAGACGACTCCCACAGCTTTGCCCTCATTCTCCACATCACGGCTGTCATGCTGGAGTGTAAAGAATAGTTGTTTACCGTTTTCCACTTGTTTGCAGGTGCAGGTGCGCCTGAATACTATTCAGCTGCATAGAAAATAAAGCAGGCCGCTGCTTGCGAACAACACTGTGAGTTCCATTTGTGTCAGAAACTGACCCTGAGCAATAATGCAGTGAACAAAGCGCCACCTACCGCAATTTAGCTCGGTCATTGATGATATAGATGCTATAAGAGTTCACTTCGGCAGTGTAACAGCCACAGCGCAAAGGTCCACTTGAATGCTGTTCAAGAAGTAATAAAGCTCAGTACCACAGAGAACGCAGAGCGAATGTGTTTGCCAAGGTTTAACGAGGAGTGATAGCCACTGTCATCTCTTCAGAGATGGAAATGGCACGGTTCCGGATTTACTGAAACAATTCGCTTGAGCTAAATGTGAGCGAGCTGGTTAATGTGGCTCCCACCACCTTCCATATTTCGGTGGTCCGCTGTTTAAATTGACCGTACCAAAGCACCGGAGCGATGATGTAGTTGGTCTACTGACCTGGTCCTTGCTGTTGCACCATGTCAGAAAGGTCCTGCAGGTGGATGAAGAGCAGCAGACCCCCTGCTCCAAACAGTAGCAGGAACCAGAAGGAGCAAGAGAGCTTCCTGGCTGCCCCCCGGGATCTCCGCCTGACCCTCATAGCATCCAGGACTTTACAGTCTGCCCAGAGCATCACACACTGAAAGAGAAACAGAAAGACCATTATTATTATTAGTAGTAGTAGTAGTTATTTACGGAGCCCCTACAGGACATTGTATTCACTCGCAAATATTTTGCGTTCTCTTGCAAATAAAATGCGTTCCCTCGCAAATGTTTTGTGTTCCCTTGCAAAAATATATACTTGTCAGGCAGCAAGCAAACATAGGACCAGAGGTGCCCAGCGACATTGCCTACATTAGAGCTTTGTTTTTAGCATGGCTAACGTTAAAAGCTGTTTTCCCAGTTTGGCCAGTCTGACCTGAGTTTATTCAGCAATTGTTCTCTGCAGTCTCTGTAAATGTAGCTTTTACTGTATGAGGACCCACGACTTCAGTTTCAGTTTGCGTCACTAACAGCAGAATCATGTTTGATTTTGAGAAGTGGCACATCTTTATATTTCAATCCATCAACGTAAATTCATTGAGCTGCTCCGTCTCTGAGCTTAAACAAAGCACAGTTTTTGCAAGCAACTGCAAACCATTTGCATCGTAATGCACAACATTTGCGAGGGAACGCAATATCATTATTTTTTTTTTTTTACCACGGCCCCTTAGGGGCTCCGTAGTTATTGGTCTTGCTACTGATCAATATTAAATATTAGAAACCTCACTTTCAAAAAGAACAATGATTATTATTTTCTATATCTCGACCCATCCTTACTCATAAAGAAATCAGCCTTTCCTGGATGCCCCTTTTGTACCCAATCATGGCTGTGCTACCAAGATGTTTTTTTTTTTTACATTTCACAACAATTTCTAGTCTTGAATTCCCCCTGTCCCAACTTTTTTGGAGCGTGCTGCAGGCATCAATATCAGAATGAGCCTATATTTACAGAAAACAATGAAATTGATAAAGTAAAACAATAAAGATCGTCTTTTGTCAAATAAGGATTTACAAATCACGCTTTAACTTCCAGTTAAGCTTTGTGAAAATACTCTGGTATCAAATAAATTTAGATTGCAATAATCTGAATAATTCATAATTTCAAAATTAAAATAGGTTAATTGTTATTATTATTGTTATAAAAATTATTATAAGTACGAGTAATAGTGGTGGTAAATGTAATAGACATAATGTTGTTCCACTGTAAAATTACAGGAAATTACTGATTGCTAGCTGCATTATTTTCACAGTAGTTTTCTGTACCATATTAACAGTAAATAACAGTAAAGCAGCAACAGTATGCTGTGACTTTACAGTCGCCTGGTATACAATATTACTGTGATGTAGCTTTGCTGTGCATAATAAGCTGCAATTAAAGTACAGTAGTATTCTGTATTTTTACAGAGATGTATTTTTTTTTTACCTGTGTTGCAAATACGGTAATAAATTAACTATTAATATTTGATCAAATATGTATTTTCAAAATGCAAATGCACACTTACAAGACACTTTAACTCTGTGTCTCATTTGCACAAATATGACCAAAAAATGGCAACACAGCAAAAGCCAATAAACAATAAAACCTCAGTGTTCCAGCATTAAACAACAAGTTGTGAAAGCCTGAATCATTTTAAAGTGTTTGAAATATTTACACCTGTTCAGCTGTCAATTTGTCAGAAGAGTTAGTTTCACAATAAAATGATGAATACAGTATTTCACTGTAAAAAAAACAATGTTAAATGTTGTGAAAAAAATCTGTGTAGTTGTCATTATTAGCAGTAGTGCAGTGTTGCTCAGTAGCTCTTCATTTTGCTGGGATTCAGTGGGCACAGCAGGTGAATTCTAAACACCCAGAAAAAAAAATGTTTTCCTCTCTCACAAAATGAACTTATCTAGTCTGAATTGAGAGGCAGCTTAGCCGAGGCAGGCCGAGCCGCTGTACGCCCCGCGACCCTCGCGACCTCTGATAATTGTGTTGACTTCCGTTCTGATTCAGGAGCGAGAGGAGTTTGGATAACACTGACTGCAGCGTTATTATGAAGTTGAGGTTCATGCAAAAAGATTAAAAAAAAAATTAGATTCACAAAAAAGGGCTCAAGTGGAGTTTGTACAGACATGCAGTGCAAGTTTCTCTGCTGCGGTACACAGTAAACCCAGCAGCTCTGCGCTCACTCAGACTCTGTCCTGATGAAAAGGACACGATGAAAAGGATCTGCACGGCTGCAGAAAGGACGACACGCTGATTACGCTATAGACACTGCGCTGTGAAGTGGATATAATTCACCTGTTTCACTGAATAAAGCACTTTGCACTGAGTTAATCTTTTATGACTCGTTGCAGTTGTTAGTACAGCGGGCTGTATTTCATCTGTAAGTATGCTCAGCTTATCTCAAACGCTGTTGTTTCTTATGAATGTCTTTATAGTATGAATTCACTGCAAAAGACAGTGCGCCGGATCAGCGCTCTTTGATATGAAGGAGAATTCATAGTCGGTTCTACGATCAGAAGTTGACCAGGCCCTGAGGCAGCAAAGCAGCCCCAGGCTATAACACTTCCACCACCATGCTTCACAGTTGGTATGAAGTTCCTCTGATCAAATGCAGTCTTGAACATGAACATGGCTTCTGGTACTGTGGCCAAACAACTCTGTCTGTCTATTATTATGGAAGTCTGGGTCCTTGCCTAGATATTCAATAGCAAACTTTAGTCATGCCCTGATTTTGTTTTTAGACAGCAAAGGCTTCCTCCTGGTGTCCCTTCCATGTAGGTCAGCTGGGAGAAATGTTCAGCTGTTCCTCCAGGAAGAATTCTTTCAACTTTGCAGTGTTTAAGGGTTTTTTTTTGTATGTACAGCCTCAAATCCCCTCACATCATTTTGATGAAATTCACATCTGGGCATTGACAGACTGGGCCATTCCATAAACCATTTGGACCCTAATAACCCAAACGGTTTCTCTTTCTTCCTTTTGAGCCATTCCTTGGTAGATTTGCTTGTATGTTTGGGATCATTATCTTGTTGGAAGCTCTAGCTCTCCAACTTTCTTCCAGATGGCCTCACATTTTCCTTGAGCACTCTCTTTGAAATGGAAGAGAATGCATAGTCAGTTCTATGATTGGAAGTTGACCAGGCCCTGAGGCAGCAAAGTAGCCCCAAGCTGTAACACTTCCACCACCATGCTTTACAGTTGGTATGATATTCTTCTGATCAAATGCTTTGATTTTTGCCAAACATGAACTTCTGGTACTGTGGCCAAACAACTCTATCTTTCACTCATCTCTCCATAGCATATTGTTACAGAAGTTCAGGTCTTTGCCTGGATATTTATCAGTAACCTTTAGTCTTGCCCTAGTGTTCTTTTTAGATCACAAGGGCTTCCTCCTGGCTCAGCTCCCATGTAGGTCAAATTTGTGCAGTCGTTTTCTAATGGTAGATGCATGTGCTTTTACATCAACAGTAGCAAGAGCTAACTGCAGATCCTGTGATGAAATTTTAGACCTCTTAAAGATTTCCTTTACCATCTTAAGGTCTTACTGTTGGGTTAAATTTGTTGGGGCAGCCAGGCTGACGGAAAGTTTTAATGAAATATTCCTGATTAATAATCAATAAACTAAATATTAGCTAACTTGAGCATTTGGAGATCTCATAAAAAAGGCTATAGACTGCATGCATTTGGAATATCACCTCTAAAGAGGATGAACTCAATGAACTCTTTTCAAAAAAGAAACTGTACAAAGCGTAGCTACAAATTATGGCTGAAAGGAAGGGAATTGTTGGATGACAGTATAAACTATAGCTGAAGTGAAAACTAATAAAAGGGGAATTGTGTTAGATGACAGTACAAATTATAGCTGAAGTGAACTCTTGAACTTGGGTGAAGAAGCTGTGTGAGATGACCCTGTAAAGATGGAACAGCCTGGTACAACCAGGTCAGAATGGTTTTTTAAAAAAGCACATTATGAGTGTTTGGTTTTAAGGGTTTCCAAAAAGGATGCACGGTTTGGAAACAATGGGGACTAAAGTGGTATGGAATTGTGTAAAAAGGGGTGGGGTGATTACTTCATCACCCCAAAGGGCAATAAAGAGGGATGCCTCGAGATGATATGCATTGTGGTTGCCCGGGAACCATCTTGCCACTTAAAGCTCAACAAAGAGAAAGGCTTTTCCTTCCTTGCACAAGAACTCAGCGGCTGACGTCTTTTAATTCCTTTTTCATTCCTTTTTATCCTTTTTTACTTTTTGTTGATATTATTTTATTCCTTTAATTCTTAATTCCTTCTTTAATTCCTTTAAAGAAGTTAGACTACAGTAAGTTAGGGCAATAGCATAAAACATACATACATACATCATCTAGACCGCTTATCCTTCTGGGTGTGGGGTGCTGGAGCCTATCCCAGCTATCATTGGGCAGAAGGCAGGATACACCCTGGACAGGTCTCCAGTCCATCACAGGGTAGACAGACAGACAGACAGATACAATCACACACACTCACACCTATGGGCAATTCAGCATGTCCAATTGGCCTGACTGCATGGCTTTGGACTGTGGGAGTACCCGGAGGAAACCCACACAGACATGGGGAGAACAGGCAAACTCCACACAGAAAGGACCCTGGTTGCCCGGCCAGGAATCGAACCCAGGCCCTTCTTGCTGTGAGGCAACAGCGCTACCCACTGCGCCACCGTGCCGCCCAGCATAAAACGTATTAGAGATATTCATATATGTCTCGCGACATGGCCTAGACAATTTGGCAGTGGTTTTAAATTTCCACTTGCAGATGACCTTCCAGACAGTGGCATTTGATAAGAAGAACCTTATACCAACTGTAAAGCATGGTGGTGGAAGTGTTATGGTTTGGGGCTGCTTTGCTGCCTCAGGGCCTGGTCAACTTACAGTTATAGAATTGACTATGAATTCTTGTTCATACCAGAGATTGATTTATTATTATGGAAGTCTTCTTGAATCCCTTCCCAGACTCACAGGCATCTACAACCTTTATTTTGAAGGCCTCTTTCCATCTAACAAAGAGCGAACCAGACAGATGTCTGAAGTTAAATAAGTTCCTCCAACATATTCTAATGGTGTTCTCATCACTAGC